GGAAAGTACATCTTCTTGCAAATATGGTGTGGGCTACCTCTTTTCTTGTGGGACTTAAAGATGTACATCAACAACTGGCTACACAAATGCACCAACTGACACAAGGTCAATCCGTCTAACCTTGAACGTTGAAAGGGGAGTGTCGTGTACTTTTTTGAAAAATCCTTGCCTAATTTGGACTTCTTTCTCAAAAGAGCACAACTTCCAACAATGTTGAAGTTGCAATGTTCTTGTATTCCTTGCAATGTTGTTTAACTGGGATTTAGAAGTTTAAGAACAACGATGGGGTCTTGCTTTGTCAGTTGCCATTGTTTTAATGCATGTTAAAGAAAAGATTAAAGAAAGAGAAAAATCACAAAGACATTTGTAAGAAAAAGACTTGATGTCTCTTGTGTCAACTTTAAAGTACACGTTAGGATTTGGTTTTCATTCACATTGGAATGTTGCCTTGATGTAAAGGACAGTTATTTCCACTGCTGGCATTCAGCTCTCTTGTCCATATCTAGTTAAACCCTTAACAAGCCTGTAAATGAGGCCAGGAGTTCAGTTGAACATCAAATGAGCACATTATTACTGAACAAGTACCACTTAACAGCACTTTTGAAGATCCTTTCCATCACTTTACTGGTGATCAAGAGTAAACTAATAGGATGGTAATAGGCAGGGTTGAATTTGTTCTTTATTTTGTGGACAGGTCCAACATGGGCCATGTCACACATTGCTAGGCAAATGCCATTAATTTGCCTGTAATGGAACAACTAAGTTAGGGGTAATGGCTAGTTCAAGAATACTGATCCACTTTGAGTCTGCTAAAGTATTGTCATCCAACAAGAAATAGCAACATTATTTTTCCATAGTTTGCTGCAAAGCGCATGATTCACCATCACTTCTGGCCTGTGAAGTCTGTTCTTTCAGAAGAAGTAGTAAGCACAATTCTAAATAATATCCATACAAACATAAGTGGAGATTGAAAGGCAGAAAATAAAGTGTGGAAAATCGAACTGTCTGGGCAGAATGCCCTCCCCTTATCCTAGGTAGAAATGTCACTATTGGAGCAAATTACTGCAGATGCTGGAATCTGTACTGAAAACAAGAAACACTGGCGTCACAGCGGGTCAGGCAGCATCCATGGAGAGAGAGCAAACTAATGTATAGAGTTGTCAAGACGCTGTGACCTCCAGCATTTTGTTTTTTTCAATACCAACTCTGTCAGTTTTTTCTAAAATTACCACAACAGCAAGACACTTAACAACTGCATCTTCAACTTTTTTGGCCTGATCAGGAGCACATTGCCACTCTCTGACTATGTTGCAAGACTGTAACCTCCCTCACTATTAAACCCAGAAGTTTTTTTTTAAGGAACTTGTTAATTAAGATATCGGTGTGTCTAGTCACAGAAACAGGTTTTACATCTTCTTCACTGTTCCATTATTACAGTGTTGAACACATGACAGGTAGAGAGAAAAATAATTATTTTTGGATATCTAGTGATGGAGGTGTTTGGGAAGGATGAAAAGGCATTATTGTAAATGTGATCGTAATGGCTTTTAGTAAATCATGATAGGTTCCACTTACATAAAACCTTTGAAAGATAAATCATGTGAGCGCATTGTCGTGAATTGATTTGATTTTTCTTGTAGTTTATGAAAGCACTAATCACCTTTCTCTAGAAATGTGTTCTGTTGAGATCTATTACATAATAATGACATGCATTTAAATAGCATCAGAGATAGCAGGACCGAAACGTCAGCCTTCCAGCTCCTCTGATGCTGCTTGGCCTGCTGTGTTCATCCAGCTCTACACCTTGTTATCGAAGGGTCTAGGCCCGAAACGTCAGCCTTCCTGCTCCTATGATGCTGCTTGGCCTGCTGTGTTCATCCAGCTCTACACCTTGTTATCTCATGCATTTAAATAGCATTGTTCATGTTTACAAAACAATTCAAAGCAATAATGGACGCATAAACATTTTTAGTTATATTAATTGAGGGATAAATATTGGCCACAAATCTCGTAATAATTTATCTGCTCCTCTTCAAAAGTGTGCTGTGGAATCTTTCATGTCCAGTTGAGAATGCTTTGGTTTAATGTCTCATCCAAAAGATTGCATCTCCTAAAGTCCCTCAGAACCATGAGTGCGTTGAAAGAAAAAGAAACAGTTTGCATTTATATAGCACTTTTCAAGTCCAGACACCTTAAAGCATTTTACAGCCAATGAAGTACTTTTTGAGGAGCAGTCACTGTTACAATTTAGGAAGCATAGGTGACCAAGATGTGCACAATGAACTCTCACAAACAATACATTCAAATAATCCTTTTTATGAGGTGAGCGAGGGATAAATATTCATCAGGACACTGGGAATAACTTTGCTGCTTTTCTTTTAAACAGTGCCAGGAAATCTTTTACATCCAGCTGAGCATGCATGTGGAGACTCAGTTTAACATCTGATTGAAAGATGGCAGCCATAACAATGCAGCACTTCCTCAGTAATGCACTGAAGTGTCAGCTTCGATTTTTAAACTCAAATCCTGAGGTGGGACTTGTACCTGAAACATTGTGACTCAAAGCCAACTAAGCCACAGTTGACAGTGTTAAACTGTATTTCTGAATTATTGAAACATATAAGATTTTGAGGGGACTTGACTGGGTAGATGCAGAGAGGTTTTTTCCTCTTATGGCAGAGTGTAGGATGAGAGGCCATAATCTCAGACTAAGGAGTCATCCATTTAAAACAGAAATGAGGGGAAATATCTTCTCACAGAGGGCTGTGAATCAGTGGATTTTTTTTTACTACAGACGCTGTACAGACTGAGTCATTGAATATATTTCAACATTGAGAAAGAGAGCTTTAATCAGCGAGGGAATCAAGCTTCATGGGCAAAAGGTAAGAAAGTAGAGTGGAGGAGTATTTTCTCAGCTCATTGAAAGGCAGACTAGACTCGATGGACTGAATGGTCTGCTTCAACTCCTATGTTTTATAGGCTTATTATGCACACGTTTCCGGAGAGGGGCTTGAAACTACAACTTTCTGACTCAGATGCACGTGGTACCCAACAAGATTTCTGACATCCAATATTTGCAATTTTCTTTATGATTTAGATTAAGATTTAGATTTTATTGTCATGTCCATGCATGTATGGAAGTATAGTTGTGCAGTGAATAGTGTACAATGTCATCACACATGGTGGCATCTTAGGTAGAAACGTAACTAGGTACAAAAAAAGCTTAAGTACAAAGCAGTAAAAGAAACAAAGCTAAAATGTTAAGCATTACCATCAGAGAATAAATAGAAAAATAAAGAAATAAGGTAATACTTAACATTAAAGTCCTTCTTTATATAAACTAGAAAAATAAAGGAATAAAATTGAAAGTTCAACGGTCTTAGCTTATGCTTCACTGCCCTCAAGTCATTGCTAACCACTTACACAGGAACATGAGGAAGTGTCCACGCTGAAGAAAGCAAGCATTAAAAATTATTGTTTACTCAACCCCCTCCCCCACCGCTAACTGTTGAAGCATTTTGGGGAATTTACAGCCAGTGTGAGACTAACCTCTCTTCACTCTTTCCTGAGACTAGCAGCCTGTGAGGGCAGATCAATTGACAGCGATGCCACTATACTGTCATCCTGAAAGTGGCTCAAGAAATCTTTCTGATAGATTGGGGGCTGGAGAATTACATTTATGTTTGCTTTTCAGTGTTATAGTCTTTCAAGATGACCTAATTGCCAACAGTAATTTGGGGGTGGAGGGGTTGTCTCAAGCCTGGAACAGGTATTGCAAAAGCATCTGTCCTTTGGACTGATCTAAGCACCAGTTCTGAAATGCCCAGTCAACTGAGTGTATGGCAACGTAGGACCCATATAGTACCTTTCACTATCCCCGAGCCTCCCTTAATTTCCTCAACTGATGAGATGGAGTTCCTGCTACAATATTGTTGCTGTGATAAGGTACAGTATGAAAGAGTAGATGCAGAGAGGCCATATCCACTTGTGAGACAGTCTAGGACCAGAGGGCACAATCTCAGAATAAGGGATCACATATTTAAGACAGAGATGAGAAGGATTTTCTTCTCTAAGAGGGTAATGAATCTGTGGAAATCTTTACGAAAGAGTGTTGTAGACTGGATCATATACTGAAGGCTGTGATAGATTTTTAATCAGTAAGGAAATCAAGGATTATGGGCAAAAGGCAGGAAAGTGGAGTTGAAGATTATTAGCTCAGCCATGATCTCATTGAATGGCAAAGCAGACTCAATGGGCTGAATGGTCTATTTCTGCTCCTGTGCCTGATGGTCCTACAATACTACAACATTTCTCCTTGGTGGATTCTCCAGTGGACTGAATGGAGATGTGGCTTCACAGGTGTTAACTCCATCCCTTTAAATGATATCACAGATTTTTTTTCCTTAGAGGCAAAGGAACAATTTAACCAAGAATTACTTTCCCTTGAACTTCCACAAGATAGTTCTGGATGAGAAAGCACATTGATTGTCCTTTGTCTGAACAAGAGTTCCCTGATATTAGTCTTCAAATTGAACACATAACCTCAATTAACACTCAAATATGGCATTGCAGTGGGCAAGGCCCTCCAACCGTTATGAATCAAGTGTATCTTGAATGTCTAGGTGAGTTGTTTTTTATTATTAATAGCTTTGCAAACGTATTCTGCTGATGGTAAATCTGTCTGATGGACAATCAATTAAAAACTTGCCATGGAATGATAATGAGAGAAAAGGCCCATTCAGAAAGTTAACACAGTTACGATGGGCTAATTGGCTTCATTTTGTGATGCACTAATTCTGTGAATTGCCTCAGACTGCAGGGAACATCCTCAATGTGGTGATATCCAAACCTGGAGAAATAGTCTGAAAGCCAGTCAGAATGTTACAATTAAGCAACTGATTGGATTTACAAGTGTGGGCCAGGCTCTGAGAGCATGAAGGAAGGATATAGTAAGCGTGAAGTTAGCATTACTTTCTGATCCCGGGTTAGCTGGCCTGAAAAATGTCTTGTCTGTGACTATCCAAGAGAAAGGGGGAGGAGCAACCCACTTGTTCTTATTGCTGTGTAATTGTAATCCACAGCAAGTGTCGCTCCCGAAATACTGAACGTTTTGCAACCTACAAGAACATTGGACTGTGTGCATTTTTTTTACAACCGAATCATACGTGTTGGGGCAAGTTGGTTGAACAGGCTGTTCGCAACAGTCTTATCTTAACACAGGAACATATTAACATAAATTAGACGGGCGGAAGGCACTTGCTTTGTATTGGAACCATAACATTAAACAGCTGGCCTTATGTTTGGGGGGGAAAGAAAGGGGATTTTTTTTTATAGGTAACACAGGATTTTGATTGGGGGGGGGAGCTGTCGCATGGAAACTATTTAAGCAGCTCGGAAGTGCTATTTGCTGTGCATCAGCACTGCTGCCTGTTCTCCTGGACGAGGGCTAGCGCTGTTAGAAAGAGGTTAGCTGTAGTGTTTATACCATATCGAGCATCTCATCCAAATGCTGCCTCGTTTTCTGTCGAGAGGAACTCTGACCGGCTGAGGGAGTGTGTGAGCACAGGGCGGGTACAGACGCTTGCGATGAAGCCACTGAAGAGTTCGGATGGACGACAATGGTGCAACTGAGATAGAGAGCGAGAAAAGAACATGAGTTACGTTTCTACCTTTCACATCCGACTGCAAAAACCCTGTCAGCAACCGGGCGACAAGCAGGCGCCGTCTCCAGCAAAGGTTGGGACTGGAGCTCGGAGGTCAGATGCTGACTCTATCAGTGCAGGTTAGAAAGCTCTGTGTGTGTGTGTGTTATTCTGGCCATATGTAGCCTATGTGTCAACTCGGGTATCTGAGAACGTTTGTGTTTATATGTATATAACCATATTTAATAAACGTGAGATAAAAGTTGCCTAATTATCAGTTTTAATACGATGAAACTTTGGCCTGCAATATTCCAACTCTTTTGAAAGAGGCAGGCTAGTACAGCAAAGAAGGAAGCCAATTCCAACTACCTTCAAATAATTAGGATCAAGGAGCTAATGTTTAAACTGAGCTCAGGGAGCGTATTATTTGTCCTGTACATGTTGCAAATGTAATCTCTGTATATGATTTGAAGGCATATTTATATTGTGAATACTTGGGCCCACAGTCTTTTATGGTTCACTTTTAATTACCTTTTTATATTTGCACAAGTGATTAATTTTTGTAAATCTCTACAAGTTTTACTTGTATTTTAAAGTTTGTTTGTTTGTAATGGAAATACAGAAATGCATCTGTATCTGAGGAGGAAAATCAGTTACTTTACCTTTTTATGTCCAGGAGTATTTTCTTTCAATAGGTGACTGCTGTTTCCAACACTGACATCCTGTGTGTACCCCAAAATTAAAAGACAACTGAAGTGAAAAACCATATCTTTTGTCCACAAACTCCCACCAGGTGGAGTTGACCACCTCTTTGGGAACTGATCAATCTCCTTTTCACTTTCCCATCATTTTCTGGTTTATTTCAAATTTCCAGTTTTTCTTTTCAAATCCTTTTGGATTTTGCATACATTCTGTGAAGGATTGAGCTTGAGCTGACTGCAAAGTCTCTGCCAATTGCCCAAGAGTATGCATGTTCTGTTTATAAGCACAATGAGCTAGACTTGGATATACAGGTAATAACAATCAAAACTTGCAGATGTTGCAAGACTTTCAGGAATGTGGTAAACAGTGAAACTGACTCTCTCCTGTAACCTTCGGTTTGTGCCAAATATTGTGTTCCAGTACATTTAGCTGTTTGGGTGAGACTAGCTGAGCCATTCAATTTAGGAACGGGTAGGCCATTCAGGCTGTTGAACCTGCCGAACCATTCAATATGACCATGGCTGATTAAACACTTGATCCTTTTAATTACACCATCCCCATAACCCTATAAATTACTCATCAGAAATTTATCAATATTTACTTTAAACATACTTGAAGACACCGCTTCCACGGCCCTCGGGATACAGAATTCCAATAGCTCCTAATCCTCTAAGCTTAAAACCTCCTCAATTTAGACCTGAGTGGTATTCCCCTTATTTTTAGGTTTCCCCCAATCAGGGGGGACATCTTACCTGCACCTATCCTGTCTATCCCTTTATTTTGTACATTTCAATCATTCCATGAAATTTTACGGAATACATGTCTGGTTTGCCCAATCTCTCTCCATATCAGTCCTGCCATCCCGGGAACCAGTCTGGTGAACCTTCTGAAAACAAAATGCTGGCGATCACAGCAGGTCATGTAGCATTCCATGGAAAGAGAGTGAGCTAACATTTCAAGGCTTCTTCAGAGCTGACGTGAACCTTCATTGGACTCCCTCTGTGTGGCAATAATATCTTTCTGAGACAAGGAGTCAAAAGCTGTACGCACTACTCAAGGAGCGGTTTAACCAAATTCTTATACATGAGGCAAGTCTTCACTGTTATGTACTTGAACTCTCCCATAATAAAGGCTAACGTTCTGTGCTTGCTGTGACAGCATTGATTTAATAAAAGGACACCCTTTGTATGTTTACACTTTCCAAACTCTTACCGTTTAAGAAATACTCCACACATCTGTTTCTCCTACCAGAATGGAGATTTGACGTTTCTTCCACATTGCTTTCACTTTAGTCAAAGAATATAATGTGACATGAAATATTTACAAGTGAAGTTTAAATGTAAAAGCAACACTTTTTTTATGCTTTCAATATGTCCAAGTGGCAGCAGAGTTGGATGAGAAAATTTGACCTTGATGCTTCTATTTCATCAGCACACCTTTGTTCTTATGGCTCACCGGCAACTATACTGTTGCTAGCTGATGATGGGCTTCGTCACTGGAAAAGCACTTCCCATCATAGAGCTGTAGCTTTCCAGTGCAGATCTTTAGCATTTTAATCATGGGGTTGTGGTGGGGGAGGAGGAGAGAGAAAGGGAGAAGCCAGAAGGTGGAAGTGACATACAGTTGCAGTTTTGCCTTTGAACATAGCACATCACTGACAAAACTCTGCCTTTTAGAATACAAAAGCAAGAAGGTTATGTGAATCTGTGCAAAATAATGGTCAGAGCCCCCTGCTGAAGTGTGTTGGTCAATTCTGGGAGCCACGCTTTTTATTTCAGAAGGATGTCAAAGCCTTAGAGGGAGCAAGAGATTTACCAGAAGGGTAAGTTGATTTTGACTCCAGTGATAAAACTGGAGAAGCTGGTGTTCTTTCCCCTCCCCCAAAGCCAGGAAGGTTAAGGGGAGTTTTATCTGAAGGGTGTTCATTCCAACCCCATTGATCTCCAAATCCAACACATCATCCTCCACCATCTTTGCCACCTGCTATCAGACCCCACCACCAAGAAGATATTTCCTTCCCCACCCCTATCTGCTTTCTGTAGAGACCACTCCAACCCTTCCACCACACCAGGCACCTTTGCCATGCAATAGCAGAAAGTGCTACATCTCCCCTCTCTCCTCTGTCCAAATCCAACAAAGATTCACCTGTACGCCTTCTAACCTGGCCGACTGCATCTGTTGCTCCCGACGTGGTCTCCTCTACTTTGGAGAGAACAAGCACAGACTGACTGACTTTTTTTTTTTTTTTTTTTATTTTTTTTGCTGAACTTTAATCAACACCACCTTCTGGTTGCCTGGCACTGCCACCCCCACCCCGCTTCATGACATGTCCATCCTGGGCCGCCTCAAGTCACAATGAGGCCACACATAAACTGGAAGAACTACACCTTTTATGTTCTGCTTTGGGAGTCTACAACCCAATGGCATCAAAATAGAATTCACCAGCTTCAAACTCTCTCCACTCGCACCCCCCCACCGGCCTCATCCCATGTCCAGTCCTCCCTGCCATTCCCACCTCCTTGACCTGACACATCATGTCCATCTTCCTTCTCACCTATCCACCCCACTCTTCCAACTGACCAATCTTTACAACCCCCTACCTACATCCACCTATCACCATCCCACCTATCCTCTCCCAGCCCCGATCCCCCTCTCTATTTATTTCTGAGCTCCCCACCACCCTCCCAACTCCCCAGTCCCGATGAAGGGTCCTGACCTGAAACATTGACTTTCCTGCTCCTCTGCTGTCTGACCTGCTGTGCTCCTCCAGCTCTACATTTTCTCGGCTCTGCTTTCCAACATCTGCAGTCCTTACTATCTCCTAGTCGCTGAAAACTGTTTCTTGTTAACAAAGGCACAGATTTAAGGTGGTGGCTGAAAGAGCCACAGCGACATGAGGGAGGGAAAGAACTGCTGCCAGATAATTTGATTTAAAATGCTCCCTAATTAAGGCTAGTGGATGAAGCGTAAATAATTCCTTTCAAGAGGAAGTTGGAGAGATAGTCATGTAGGAAATAGTTGCTATGGGAATAGCGGTAATTTCTTTGCGGTCTCAAAGAGCCGTACACGTCAGATCATGTGGGTCTCCTGTCCTATTCGTCCTGTTAGGGATGGGCTTTTGAAGCTTTGAGCTGCAATCAGCACCAACATGTACTGACAGGAAAATATCCCTCTTTTTACTCTGTCTGGACTGTTTCATCATTGCCTGATTCTTCATTGAGCGTCGCTGGCTAGGCCAATGCTTAGTGCCCATCTGTATTAGCCTTCAGAAAGTGGTGCTGGTAGATCTTTGAATTGCTGCAGTCTATATGATGATGCACATATAAATGCAAAAAAAATACAGCATCTTTCAAAACCAGTGTCCCAAGTTGCATAGTCACTGAGGTATTTGTTTTGCATAGCTATGGTTGTATTGTAGGGAACATGACACTCAATTTGTGTACAGCATGCTCCCACAAACAATGAGTTTCCAGATAAATTTTTTTAATATGATGCTTAATAATAAATATTGGCTAGAGTGCTAGGGAGAGCTGCTCTGCTCTTCAAACAATTCTCATGGGATTTATTTTCATCCCTGACAGGGCAAACAGACACTTTGTTTAACATCAAAAAAGCAGTGTATCTAATAGTATTGCTGTAGGGTGTCAGCCCTTGGTTTCTTTTTCCTTCCAGCCCTAAAATGAGACAGCAGAATGCAAGCTTCTGATTTTTTTCCCCTCTGATTCACTCATGAGATGTGGGTGTCACAGATTGGGGCAGCATTTATTGCTCTGCAAGGTGGTGGTCAGCTGCCTTTCTGAACTGCTATAGTCCATATGCTGAAGGTGGATCATCACTGCTGGTAGGGATGGAGTTCCAGGATTTTGACCCAGCGACGCTGAAAGAGGGGGAGGGGAACTTGCGGGTGGTGATGTTCCCATGTATCTGCTGCTTGTCCTCCTTGATGGAAGTTGTCATGGGTTTGGAAGGTGCTTTAGTGAATTTCTGCACACTGCTGCTACTTAGCACTGGTAGTGGAGGGATCTGGTGACAGTCGAGTGGGTTGCTTTGTTCTGCATGGTGTCAAGCTTCCACGAGTGTTGTTTGAGCTGAACTCCTCCAGGCAAGTGGGGAGTATTTCATCACACTCCTGACTTGTGCCTTGTAGCTGGTGGACAGGCTTTGGGGAGTTATTTGATGCAGTATTCTTGTAGCCATTGTATTTGTATGGTAATTCAGTTTCTTCTCAATGCTAATCCTGAGAATGTTGAAAGTAGGGGATTTGGTGATGGCAATACTGATGAATGTCCAGAGGTGATGGTTGGATTCTCTCTTAGTGGAGATGGTCATTGCCTGGCACTTGTGTGGTGCAAATGTTAACTTGCCACTTTTCAGCCAAAACCTGGATACTGTCTAGGCCTTGCTGCATTTTGATGTGGATTGCTTTGGTATTGGTGAA